ATGACGCAGCGCTACAGTCCTGTAACAGTCTAACATTATGACGCAGCGCTACAGTCCTGTAACACGTCTAACATTATGACGCAGCGCTACAGTCCTGTAACACGTCTAACATTATGACGCAGCGCTACAGTCCTGTAACACGTCTAACATTATGACGCAGCGCTACAGTCCTGTAACACGTCTAACATTATGACGCAGCGCTACAGTCCTGTAACACGTCTAACATTATGACGCAGCGCTACAGTCCTGTAACACGTCTAACATTATGACGCAGCGCTACAGTCCTGTAACATGTCTAACATTATGACGCAGCGCTACAGTCCTGTAACACGTCTAACATTATGACGCAGCGCTACAGTCCTGTAACGTCTAACATTATGACGCAGCGCTACAGTCCTGTAACATGTCTAACATTATGACGCAGCGCTACAGTCCTGTAACACGTCTAACATTATGACGCAGCGCTACAGTCATGTAACACGTCTAACATTATGACGCAGCGCTACAGTCCTGTAACGTCTAACATTATGACGCAGCGCTACAGTCCTGTAACACGTCTAACATTATGACGCAGCGCTACAGTCCTGTAACAGTCTAACATTATGACGCAGCGCTACAGTCCTGTAACACGTCTAACATTATGACGCAGCGCTACAGTCCTGTAACACGTCTAACATTATGACGCAGCGCTACAGTCCTGTAACACGTCTAACATTATGACGCAGCGCTACAGTCCTGTAACACGTCTAACATTATGACGCAGCGCTACAGTCCTGTAACGTCTAACATTATGACGCAGCGCTACAGTCCTGTAACACGTCTAACATTATGACGCAGCGCTACAGTCCTGTAACACGTCTAACATTATGACGCAGCGCTACAGTCCTGTAACACGTCTAACATTATGACGCAGCGCTACAGTCCTGTAACAGTCTAACATTATGACGCAGCGCTACAGTCCTGTAACACGTCTAACATTATGACGCAGCGCTACAGTCCTGTAACATGTCTAACATTATGACGCAGCGCTACAGTCCTGTAACACGTCTAACATTATGACGCAGCGCTACAGTCCTGTAACATGTCTAACATTATGACGCAGCGCTACAGTCCTGTAACAGTCTAACATTATGACGCAGCGCTACAGTCCTGTAACACGTCTAACATTATGACGCAGCGCTACAGTCCTGTAACACGTCTAACATTATGACGCAGCGCTACAGTCCTGTAACAGTCTAACATTATGACGCAGCGCTACAGTCCTGTAACAGTCTAACATTATGACGCAGCGCTACAGTCCTGTAACGTCTAACATTATGACGCAGCGCTACAGTCCTGTAACATGTCTAACATTATGACGCAGCGCTACAGTCTGTAACACGTCTAACATTATGACGCAGCGCTACAGTCCTGTAACATGTCTAAATGGCCAGGCTACAGTCCTGTACACGTCTAATTATGACGCAGCGCTACAAGTCCTGTAAACGTCAACATTATGACCAGCGCTACAGTCCTGTAACACGTCTAACATTATGACGCAGCGCTACAGTCCTGTACATGTCTACTAACCTTATGAAGCAGCGCTACAGTCATGTAACACGTACTAACATTAGGACGCAGCGCTACAGTCCCTGTAACATGTCTAACAGTATGACGCAGGCGCTACAGTCCTGTAACAAGTCTAACATGATGACTCAGCGCTATAAAAAAAAACAGTCCGTAACACGGTCTAACATTATGACGCAGCGCTACAGTCATGTAACACGTCTAACATTATGACGCAGCGCTACAGTCCTGTAACATGTCTAACATTATGAGCAGTGTGTGTTTTGGGTGTAAATGTGTTTCTATCTGCACTGCTGATACAATCACATCATTCAAACATTTTTTTGTCTGCTTTTACAATGAGTTGACCTTCCAACCATGCAAATAAATATGTATTGTTATTTAAAATAATGTGGGTGCTGATATCTGTCCTGTTACCTGATAACACACGTGTATTATACCCATATCCCAACTAATCGTGTGTGTAATGTGTGTGTACAGTGTGTGTGTGTACTGTGTATGTGTGTGTATAGAGTTGTGATGCAGGGTAAACCATGCCTGACTGCTGAATAACTGTCCTGTTGTTACAGCACAACACAGTGGGTAGATGGGGAAGGGCATGTTGTCCCACAGCGCCACTTAGTGGTGGACCACAGTGGTACAGATTGTCGATACTATGTTCACTCCAACTTCTGTCCAGCTTGAAGTCTACATTAGCTTCTAACAATACTATAAAACAGAGTTTGACTGCTGAAGCCACATGTTCATCAATGAAAAATGTATTGACACAAGTGTACAAGGACTTATTCATTTATTTACACAATTTTAAAATACACAAATACAGTGGCATTACAACTGAGGAGCAAAACTGACGACAACACTTCCCGTGACTCAGTGAGTGATGCATTGTGGGAACCAACGCAAGGTTCCGGAGTCAGTCCCTGCGCAGAAATGCAAACCCAAAACAACCAGGAAATAAAAACAGAAATAAAACAGAGAGAGGGAAAGACATGACAAAAGAAAGAAACAAATGATCCCAAGTAAAGAAGTGTACTTAACAGAAGCGTACTTGCCTTCATCTTCATTACCCACAATCCCACACTGAAGACAATGAGGTGGGAGTTTCTTTTTTTGAGACCACCAGCTGGTCGGTTCGAGGGTTTAAAACTAACTTACCCAAAACTACAATGGAGCAAAGCATTCAAACCCCTCCATACAATTCCTTCTTCATCATAATACACACACACACAGTGGCTAATACAGAGCTGGAGGTAGAACTTACCCTTAACCACAGATCTAGGATCAGGTTATCCAACTAACTCCTAACCTTAACCATTAGGAGGAAAACAATACATCTGATCCTGGAACTCCTACCAGCTCCTAAATGCAGACATGGTATTTCACCATGAGTACTAGGCACATCCTACATACATGAGAACAGAAGACAGACCACCACTAAACTAGTCTGGTCCCCGATCTGTTTGTACCGTCTTGCCAACTCCTTGTCACTCATCGCAACGCATTGAGTGATAAAGTTGACAACACAAACTGATCTAGGAACAAGCTACCACTAAACCCCCTTTAACCCAGACTACAGAAAAGGCCTACAGCACCCTGACGCGGTACTACACTGAATGATATGACCAGTGGGTTGGCCCTCTCAGAAGCCTGACCTAACCAATAGGACAACCAGAAGAGAGAGAACCGTAGCATTGGTCGGTAGTCTACTGTACATCCACCAACCGTGACTTTGCTCTCTGGCAAAGTCCGACTTTGCTCTCTGGTAATACAGATCACTTTTTCTTAAAAACGTAGTTTCATTAAGTTAAAAACATTTTCAAATATTGATTGATAAAAATAAAAGTTTGAGATTGTGGTGGATTGAAACCATAGGTTGAAACAGGTGTTTTAAAGCAGACCCCCCCCCCCCCCACACCCACCCCAACACACAACTTTTACTGACCAACAAGTAAAAAAAATAAATTGCTACATGAAAGTGGAGACTGGTGATTCACAGCTTTCAGCCCCAGAACACCAACAGCAGAAGGGGAGGCTGAAGAGAGAAGAGGTGATGGAGAAAACTAGTAGAGAAGACATCAGCCCTAACCCCATCCCAATGTACAAGAGACACCCTCACAAACAACCACCCCTTATTTAAAACAGTCAAACACACACAGTGACCTTAAGAACAGTAGAGGATTCGCTTTCTCACAGTCCCCTTTAAAAACAACAGAAAAGGTCACGTCGCAAACGGTACCCTATTCCCTACATAGTGCACTACCTTTGACCAGAGCCCATAGAGAATAGGGGGGTGTTTGGGACGCACAAAAGGTCTTCCCTCTGTAAATGGTTCCATTTATACAAACCCACTGTCAAGTTTGGAGACTGGGCGTCTCTTTCTAGGCATTGCATTGTGGGACACAAAATGGAAGCCAGGCCATCTCCAGTTGCACAAACAGACCTCTAATGTGACCTCCAGAGTTGCCATTAGGGGTTATTCATTCAATATTTCTTCCATCATATCTCTTTAAAACAGAAAAACCCACTTGACTTTTCACTCGGACACAATTCATGATTGGCATGATTTAGTTGATATTCTCAACCGTATTATAACAGCAACACAGAGGACAGTCAGTGTGGTCAGAACAGAACACCGCCAGTACAAACTACTTTTTAAATCAACTTCACCTAAATACCAAAACAGAGGAAAACTAAACAACTAAACAAAATGGCAGTGAAGTGAAAGACAGAGTGAGGGAAAGAGAAGCAAGCGGATGGCTTCATGAGTACAGCAGCAGCTCTGGAGGCTAACTGGCAGGCTGGGAGGAGGATCTGGTTTAGCATCGAGGAGACAGGAGATAGAAGTCATGGAGGAGAGGAGAGGGAGAGAAGATAGATGTGATGGAGGAGGCATGTAAGGGGCGTTAAGCAGGTCTGGGCGCCCCATGACATTGTCCTCCCTGGGGGTCACGATGGCAGAGGGGTGGGGATGGGGGGGGCAAGTGCCTGTTCTGGGTGTGCCAGAGGCAACAAAATCCCTCCATCCCCTCTTTCTCTCATCTCCTCATCCTCCATCCCCCTCTCATATCCTCCAGCGTTCAACGCCAGACCTCCTCTGACAGGAAGTGATATCAAGAGCACGGCTGAACGCTCTCGGAGCTGTGTGTGTGTGTGTGTGTGTGTGTGTCGTCCACCCTGTTACAACAGCATGAGCTTGTTACTTAGCAGAGAACAGTTGATGTCAAAGGGGAAGAGCATCACAGTCTGTGTGTTTTGATTGGCTGGTTGGAGCTGATTGCGGATGTAGAGGTCCTTGTCCTGCCTTTTGACTGGTTGTTTCAGTAAGAGTTCTCCAGGTATTGAAGTGTGTGTATCGAGGTGTGTGTGGGGGAGGTGGTATGGTTAGGGCCGTGCATGGTTTAACCCTCCATGGTGATGATGGGGGACAGAGGGACTCATCGAGGGGCTGCTGACTGGAGGCCACTGGGGGTGACACGAGAGAGAGCCTGGAGGAGGGAGGGAGAGAGAGAGTAAGGAAAGAGGGAGAGAAGGGGGGACAGAGAGAGAGAGAGAGAGAGAGAGAGGAGGGCAGGGGACGAGAGAAGACCATGGCAGAGAGAGGGAAGAGAGTACAGAGAGGAGAGGAGAGAGAGAGGAGAGGAGAGGAAGACGAGAGGAGAGAGAGAGGAGAAGGGGGGACAGAGAGGGCAGGGAGAGAGAGAGGGAGAGTAGCACTAAACAACAGTGATATTACACATTAGAAAGGGGGACTTGGAGGGATTTAAGAGGTTGAACACAACAACACAAGGAGGGAGGGACATCCCTCAATTGACAGTCTATAGCTGACAACATCGGTTAGAGACAGAGACAGGACAGACAGAGCACCAACAGTGCTTCAACAATCCTGGTTATAGAGACAGAGACAGACAGACAGAGCACCAACAGTGCTTCAACAACATCCTGGTTATAGAGACAGAGACAGACAGACAGACAGAGCACCAACAGTGCTTCAACAATATCCACCATACCAGTGAGCACCACTCATTGTCTCACCACTGCGGTGGTTAAGTATACAAATGATGAGGACATTCATATTTAATAGACTGGAATATTAATGAGGTGGAGCTCATTATTTGAGAAGGTGTAACATTCCAGAATGTTCAGATAGAAATGATTGTACAGAACAAAACTAATTCTCTGTAGTCTGATATGAGCGCCAGTCTGTCTGTGCTATAATGGCAACTCCTGGTCACTCCTTGTCGCTTTGACTTGACATTTAGCAGATGCTTTTATCCAAAGCGACTTACAGTCATGCGTGCATACATGTTTTTTTTTTTGTGTATGGGTGGTCCCGGGGATCGAACCCACTACCTTGGCGTTACAAGCGCCGTGCTCTACCAGCTGAGCTACAGTATATATTACCAGTCTAATAGTAATATAGTATATAGTGTAACAGGTGAATGCCAGCCGATGCTTAGGGTGTTCGTTCTATTCAGTCCATTCAATAAGGAGTGTAGGTTGCAGCCAGGACACACGAGTATTACAACAACACTTTCTCCATTTCCTCACCTGACACTGACACCGACACACACACGTTTAGTTTGAGAACATCAAACGCTTGTATCTTTTTAGTGACTGGGTGTATTGATACACCATCCAAAGTGTAATTAATAACTTCACCATGCTCAAAGAGATATTCAATGTCTGCTTTTGTATATATATATATATACAGGTAAAAGTCAGTAAATTAGAATATTTTGAAAAACTTGATTTATTTCAGTAATTGCATTCAAAAGGTGTAACTTGTACATTATATTTATTCATTGCACACAGACTGATGCATTCAAATGTTTATTTCATTTAATTTTGATGATTTGAAGTGGCAACAAATGAAAATCCAAAATTCCGTGTGTCACAAAATTAGAATATTACTTAAGGCTAATACAAAAAAGGGATTTTTTAGAAATGTTGGCCAACTGAAAAGTATGAAAATGAAAAATATGAGCATGTACAATACTCAATACTTGGTTGGAGCTCCTTTTGCCTCAATTACTGCATTAATGCGGCGTGGCATGGAGTCGATGAGTTTCTGGCACTGCTCAGGTGTTATGAGAGCCCAGGTTGCTCTGATAGTGGCCTTCAACTCTTCTGCGTTGTTGGGTCTGGCATTCTGCATCTTCCTTTTCACAATACCCCACAGATTTTCTATGGGGCTAAGGTCAGGGGAGTTGGCTGGCCAATTTAGAACAGAAATACCATGGTCCGTAAACCAGGCACGGGTAGATTTTTGCGCTGTGTGCAGGCGCCAAGTCCTGTTGGAACCTGAAATCTCCATCTCCATAGAGCAGGTCAGCAGCAGGAAGCATGAAGTGCTCTAAAACTTGCTGGTAGACGGCTGCGTTGACCCTTGATCTCAGGAACAGAGTGGACCGACACCAGCAGATGACATGGCACCCCAAACCATCACTGATGGTGGAAACTTTACACTAGACTTCAGGCAACGTGGATCCTGTGCCTCTCCTGTCTTCCTCCAGACTCTGGGACCTCGATTTCCAAAGGAAATGCAAAATTTGCTTTCGTCAGAAAACATGACTTTAGACCACTCAGCAGCAGTCCAGCTCTTTTTTTCCTTAGCCCAGGTGAGACGCTTTTCGCGCTGTTTCTTGGTCAACAGTGGCTTGACACGAGGTATGCGGCAGTTGAAACCCATGTCTTTCAAGCGTCTCTTGGTGGTGGATCTTGAAGCCCTGACTCCAGCAGCTGTCCACTCCTTGTGAATCTCCCCCACATTTTTGAATGGGTTTTTTTTCACAATCTTGACTAGGGCGATGGTGATCCCTATCGCTTGTACACTTTTTCTGACCACAGTTTTTCCTTCCCTTTGCCTCTCTATTAATGTGTTTGGACACAGAGCTCTGAGAACAGCCAGCCTCTTCTGCAATAACCTTTTGTGTCTTTCCCTCCTTGTGCAATGTGTCGATGGTCGCCTTTTGGACAGCTGTCAAATCTGAAGTCTTCCCCATGTTTGTGTAGGCTTCAGAACTGGACTGAGAGACCATTTAAAGCCCTTTGCAGGTGTTTTGAGTTAATCAGCTGATTATTTTGTGGCACCAGGTGTCTTCAAAATGTAACCCTTACACAATATTCTAATTTTGTGACACACGGAATTTTGGATTTTCATTTGTTGCCACTTCAAATCATCAAAATTAAATGAAATAAACATTTGAATGCATCAGTCTGTGTGCAATGAATAAATATAATGTACAAGTTACACCTTTTGAATGCAATTACTGAAATAAATCAAGTTTTTCAAAATATTCTAATTTACTGACTTTTACCTGTATATATATATATATATATATATATTTTTTTTTTTCTTCTTTAAAAAATAAAACATCTACTACCAATAGGTGGTGCCCTTCTTTGCGAGGCATTGGGAAACCTCTGTGGTCTTTGTGGTATAATCTGTGCTTGTTCGACTGAGGGACCTTATAGATAATTGTATGTGTGGGGTACAGAGACGGGGTACTGTGTGTGTAAATCAGTGACAAAAATCTCAATGTAATCCATTTTAAATTCAGGATGTAACAACAAAATGTGGATGAAGTCAAGGGGTGTGAATACTTTCTGAAGGCTCTGTATAAGGACCATGGGAAGAATACTGTCACAATCTGTCCACTACAGAATGGAGGAGCTTAAACCAAACACTACCTAACAGAGGGTATTGTGGGTGAATGGAGGAGCTTAGACCAAACACTACCTAACAGAGGGTATTGTGGGTGAATGGAGGAGCTTAGACCAAACACTACCTAACAGAGGGTATTGTGGGTGAATGGAGGAGCTTAGACCAAACACTACCTAACAGAGGGTATTGTGGGTGAATGGAGGAGCTTAAACCAAACACTACCTAACAGAGGGTATTGTGGGTGAATGGAGGAGCTTAAACCAAACACTACCTAACAGAGGGTATTGTTTGTTTGTGTCAGAGAGGGTCTACCTTGTCTTAAATCTTATGTTACACAGCCCACAGCCTTGTAAGGTAATGGGGTGAACCAGACCTAGTTAAGGAGGTCAAGTACAGGGGTTATGAACTATTTTAGAAGGGGATGGGGGTGCAGAGAGGGGTTAGAATCCTTGTTCTAGAGAACTGAAATTCCTATAAAATGGGGAATGCGGAACATGGAAAGAATGTGGAACTGAATCTGTGGATAGAATTCCATTTCTCCTTTATTACATCCTGAAGAGTTCCAGAATGGAATGTTTCTGGCCATCCAGAACCGGAGTTTCCAGAGTGGAGTTAGCCTTATGGGGTTAATCTACTATGGAATAGACTCTGGATCTCTGAGTCTAAAATAACCTCATTTTCTTCACCTTTCTGATTCTTTCAGGTTCATTTCAGATGAAGGAAAGGAGACATGGGGATCAAGCCACTTTAGACTTGTCATACTATATATAGACTCTGCTTTAGACTACTGAGATGGAACCTGTTTCTATAGGGGGGTTAGAGTGGGGTTGGTAAGTGACAGCCACACGGTTACCATCACTTCTTTAGACTATTGAGACGTAGTAACCCATAGATATTTCTATAGGGGGGTTAGGGTGGGGGTGAAATAGTCTTTAGACTATCAAGACGTAGCCTGAAGGCGTCAACATGCTTCGGTTCAGCTGGAGCCTAGCTGAACTCGGCTAGGCCAACCCAACGAGTGGCTCGCATCCTCCCCTAAAAGACCTTCGCTTGAAAAAACCCAGAAAAAAGCGTCAATAGTACTGTTTGTCCATCTTGAGACGCCGTAGCCAGAATTAATCTTAGATAACTCAAGAAATCTGTCCTAAATTTTGACGATTTTTGCCAAGGAGTTCTTAGTCGCGCAATTTCACATCTAAGATGTTTGGTGCAGTATTACTCAATAAAAAAAATTCCATGACAAAAACAAAGAGTCATCTCTCGTTGAATGACAACAAACAAACACTTCATTGAAGAATCCCTCCTGTTGACCAGAAGCATGCGGACACCTGGAGCCTGTAGATATTTCTAAAGGGGGGATTAGGGTGGGGTTGAGGGGACACCTACACCTACACTCTTACCTAACGTGGGTATAAGGCTCTGGTCAACAGTAGTGAACTACTGTGTGGTCCTCTGTAGCTCAATTGGTAGAGCATGGGCGCTTGTAACGCCAGGGTAGTGGGTTCGATCCCCGGGACCACCCATACATAAAAATGTATGCACACATGACTGTAAGTCGCTTTGGATAAAAGCGTCTGCTAAATGGCATATTATTATTATTATTACTATGTAGTACATATGGTGCCATTTGGGAAACTAGTGGTGACTCACCAGCCAGCCAGCCGTTCACACCAGGACGTGGCGAGCTGCTACTTTCCCAGATGATGATCGAAGGGAATGCTATTCTGAGTTGGTGGGAGGAGGAGGCTATTTCAGCCACACCCGTTGTTGACCGGTATATAAAATCGAGCACACAGCCATGCAATCTCCATAGACAAACATTGGCAGTAGAATGGCCCATACTGAAGAGCGCAGTGACTTTCAACGTGGCACCGTCATAGGATGCCACCTTTCCAACAAGTCAGTTCGTCTGCCCTGCAAAAGCTGCCCCAGTCAACTGTAAGTGCCATTATTGTGAAGTCGAAACGTCTAAGAGCAAGAACGGCCCAGCAGCAAAGGAAGGCCACACAAGCTCATAGAACGGGACCGCCGAGTGCTGAAGCGTGTAAAAATTCTGTCCTCGGTTACAACACTCACTAGCGAGTTCTAAACTGCCTCTGGAAGCAACGTCAGCACAAGAACTGCTCGTCGGGAGCTTCATGAAATGAGTTTCCATGGCCGACAGCCGCACACAAGCCTAAGATCACCATGAGCAATGCCAAGCGTCGGCTGGAGTGGTGTAAAGCTTGCTGCCATTGGACTCTGGAGCAGTGGAAACACGTTCTCTGGAGTGATGAATCACGCTTCACCATCTGGCAGTCCGACGGATGAATCTGGGTTTGGCGGATGCCAGGAAAACCCTACCTGCCCCAATGCATAGTGCCAACTGTAAAGTTTGGTGGAGGAAAAATAATGGTCTGGGGCTGTTTTTCATGGTTCGGGCTAGGCCCCTTAGTTCCAGTGAAGGGAAATCTTAACGCTACAGCATACAACGACATTCTAGACGATTCTATGCTTCCAACTTTGTGGGAACAGTTTGGGGAAGGCCCTTTGATGTTTCAGCATGACAATGCCCCCGTGCACAAAGCGAGGTCCATACAGAAATGGTTTGTCACTACACAGCATGATCCCATCACCCTGTTCATGCCAACAGTCAGCCAGCTTAGCCATATGGTGTTACCAGTCACACAGCGATCACGCCAGCGACTGCTCGTCATGAGGGTCAGTATAAACTAAACTAGCTAGATGCTCACAGATTCTTTGATTGGAGCGGTGCTTTGCTTAGGCCAACCATTATGAACAAGCACAGCATTTAGAGTCAAATTCCTTTTTTCTCTAACCATTCCACTGCTTATTCACAGAGGTCCATCATGTTGGAGTTTCAGAGCCCGTCTATGAGCCACACCCAGACCTTTAGTTTACTGCAGTTCTACACAATTTGCCATGGCTTATGCCGTGTTCTTATGCCATCTGATTGACTCAAACATTATAACAAAATCAAAATGTGGGCCATATGCCATTATATTTTTTTTAATGGTTGATTCTCCCTGACTGTCTAGTTTTTATTGTGGTGATTGTTCGTTTTGTCTTTAGGCAGCAGCTACTCTTAGTTCTCAAAGATCTAATAAAAAAATATATTACTCCATTATCTTTTCTACATACTTTATATCTGGTTTTAGTCGTTTAAGTTTACACTGAAAACGTTTCACCATCCCAAAAATGATCTTCAAATGTTTTTACTTTAGAGCGGCAGCCTGCCACTGCTAAATGAAAATAGGGAAAACACTTGACACCCTGCAACATTACAGCCATGTTATGATGCCAGTGAAAACGCTTCACATTCCTGTGTGACTGTGTGGATGCCCTGTGGTGTTGATCGTTAGTGCCATGAGTGATAGTTGAAAAGGAACGATGACCTTAAAACAATAGAACAGGGCTAGAAACATGACGTTGTTTTCAGACCTGTGAGAAGTGGGTGTGAGTCTTTACCTGTGAGGTGGACATGCGTGAGTCCTGTCGTCCAGTCAGGTCTGAGGAGGAGATGTTGACAGGAGCTCCACGGTGAAGACGCATGCTCACCTTCCTCTCTCGCTCCATACCTGGGATAGGGGACAGACACCTGGGGTTAGAGAGAGACACACACCTCACGCTCCATACCTGGGATAGGGAACAGACACCTGGGGTTAGAGACACACCTCACGCTCCATACTTGGGATAGGGAACCGACACCTGGGGTTAGAGAGAGACACACCTCACGCTCCATACCTGGGATAGGGAACAGACACCTGGGGTTAGAAACACACCTCACGCTCCATACCTGGGATAGGGAACAGACACCTGGGGTTAGAGAGAGACACACACCTCAGGCTCCATACCTGGGATAGGGAACAGACACCTGGGGTTAGAGACACACCTCACGCTCCATACCTGGGATAGGGAACAGACACCTGGGGTTAGAGAGAGACACACACCTCACGCTCCATACCTGGGATAGGGAACAGACACCTGGGGTTAGAGAGAGACACACCTCACGCTCCATACCTGGGATAGGGAACAGACACCTGGGGTTAGAGAGACACACACCTCACGCTCCATACCTGGGATAGGGAACAGACACCTGGGGTTAGAGAGAGACACACCTCACGCTCCATTCCTGGGATAGGGAACAGACACCTGGGGTTAGAGAGAGACACACCTCACGCTCCATACCTGGGATAGGGAACAGACACCTGGGGTTAGAGAGAGACACACCTCACGCTCCATACCTGGGATAGGGAACAGACACCTGGGGTTAGAGAGAGACACACCTCACGCTCCATACCTGGGATAGGGAACAGACACCTGGGGTTAGAGAGAGACACACCTCACGCTCCATACCTGGGATAGGGAACAGACACCTGGGGTTAGAGACACACCTCACGCTCCATACCTGGGATAGGGAACAGACACCTGGGGTTAGAGAGAGACACACACCTCACGCTCCATACCTGGGATAGGGAACAGACACCTGGGGTTAGAGAGACAAACCTCACGCTCCATACCTGGGATAGGGAACAGACACCTAGGGTTAGAGAGAGACACACCTCACGCTCCATACCTGGGATAGGGAACAGACACCTCGGAATAATCATGTTCACGCAGTCGTTTTGAAGTCAATGTATCTGTACAGGGCCTATCTTAAACAAGGAGCATGTGATGTACTGGTGTGAGCGCTTGGCTATACGTGGTGTGTGTACGTGGTGTGTGTGTGTGTGTAGCATATCAGACCTGTGTGTGAGGTGTGTATGTGAGGCGGGTGTGGTGCGAGTCTTCACTTATGTGAGGTGTGTTTTCACTAACCTGTGTGTGAGGTGGGTGTGAGGGGTGTGGGTGCGGCTGCGTCCTGTGCTCCTCTGGCTCGCCCGGAGGCGGAGGGGATCCCTCTTGCCCCTGCAGGGGCCCTGGCCTGTCCCTGCCTCAGTCTGTCCTCACCGGCTCTCCTCTCCCTCTCTGCATCCTCCGCTGCCCTGTTAGCACCCTGTATACACAGAGAAATAAACACCCTGGTCAAATGGAAACTATGGTCACACACATTCCCACCTCCCAACCCTTCCCTATCACAGAAACACAACTGGATCTTATTGATTCAAAATGGCTGCCGTTGCCAGGGACACCACTGCTATCAGTAGACCAACAAAATGGCCACCTTGGACAGTCCAGGGCTATGTCTCAATTATCTCTCCTTCCTCAAAGTGTGCACTGGTTCACTTCACTTCACTGATTTGAAAGAAAATGGTATAAGAAATACGGTGGAAACTCCCACCAGCCCATGTCTCCACCAATCCAATGCTTTCAGATTTGTGGGAATTAGTGAACGACTGTACACTTCAGGAGAAAGGAGATATTATTGTAATGAAAAGATTCCAGCCTGAATCAACGTAATGAAGGGGATGAATCAGATGTAGCAGAGACGTTACTCACGAACTTAAGCATGTTCCAGTCGAAGACGTAGTCGTAGGAGAAGCCCTGTCTGTGGAACAGGTTTCTGAACAGCTGTCTGAGGTACGAGTAGTCCGGCTTGTCATCGAACCGCAGAGAACGGCAGAAGTTCAGGTACGTGGCAAACTCCGCTGAGAGGAGAAACAAGAGGATGGGTCAGAATACAGCTCTTTATACATCCAGTTGTATAACAATTATGTGGAATCAAATGCCTGAATGTGAATCATCTAGTCTCCTGGGCTGCCCCTGAATGTGAATCATCTAGTCTCGTGGGCTGCCCCTGAATGTGAATCCTTCTAGTCTCATGGGCTGCCCCTGAATGTGAATCCTTCTAGTCTCATGGGCTGCCCCTGAATGTGAATCCTTCTAGTCTCATGGGCTGCCCCTGAATGTGAATCATTCTAGTCTCATGGGCTGCCCCTGAATGTGAATCCTTCTAGTCTCATGGGCTGCCCCTGAATGTGAATAATCTAGTCTCCTAGGCTGCCCCTGAATGTGAATCCTTCTAGTCTCATGGGCTGCCCCTGAAAGTGAATAATCTAGTCTCATGGGCTGGCCCTGAATGTGACTAATCTAGTCTCATGGGCTGCCACTGAATGTGAATCCATCTAGTCTCATGGGCTGCCCCTGAATGCGAATAAGCTAGTCTCCTAGGCTGCCCCTGAATGTGAATCCTTCTAGTCTCATGGGCTGCCCCTGAAAGTGACTAATCTAGTCTCATGGGCTGCCACTGAATGTGAATCCATCTAGTCTCATGGGCTGCCCCTGAATGCGAATAAGCTAGTCTCCTAGGCTGCCCCTGAATGTGAATCCTTCTAGTCTCATGGGCTGCCCCAAGACAACAAGATATACACTACAAACAAATACTGAGTGGATCATCATCTGAATCTGATCTATTGTCTTCCTGGTTAGGTCACATGCTCAGGAAAAACTCCTAACCCGATCCATACCATTTTGGACCACATAAGAGCTATCCACTTTAAAAGACTGGGAGTGGAAATTCTATATGTACAAGGATCTACTATGCAAAAACGACATGTTTTGACTTCAGAAAACCCATCAACTTCCAACCAGTCAGGTCTTTCAGCTACTCACATGGGTATCCCTTGCAGAGGACCTCGATGGGGGTCGACATCTTCTTCTCACTGATGCGTTCGTACTTCTGTCTCTTGGTGGCTGCCTTCAGGCCCTGCCAGGGCAGACTGCCCAGGTTGAAGTACATCAGGACATAACCAAGAGACTCCAGGTCATCACGACGAGACTGCTCTGTAGAGGAGAGAGGAGAGGAGAGAGAGAGACACAGGGAGAAGAGAACAAGAGAGAGGGAGGAGAGAGAGAGAGGAAGGAAAAGAAGAGAAGAGAGAGAGGAGAGAGAGAGAGAGAGCAGGAGAGAGAGAAAGGAGAAGAAGAGAAAGGGAGAAGAGAGAGAGAGAGAGAGAGGAGAGAGCAGAGAGACAGGGAGAAGAGAGAGGAGAGAAGACAGAGAGAGAGGAGAGAGCAGAGAGGGAGAAGGGAGAGAAGAGGGAGAGCGAGAGAGAGGAGAGAGGGAGAGAGGAGAGAGAGAGAAGGGAGAAGGAGAGAGAGAGAGAGAGAAGAGGAGAAGAGAGAGAGAGAGGAGAGAGAAGAGAAGAGAGAGAGAGCGAGAGAGGTGGGGAGAGAGGGTGGGGACAGGAGAATAGAAGGAGTGAAGAGCGGAGAGGGGAAGAAGGAGACGAGCATGTGGGGGATGCGAAGAGAGAGGTAGGGGTGATGTTGGGATTAGGAGGGTGGAGTGGCGTCAATTAGCATGTTTGTTATATAGCCAAAGGTATGTGGACACCTGCTGGGAAGGCTTTCCACTAGATGTTTGAACATTGCTGCGTGGACTTGCTTCCATTCAGACATGAGCATTGGTAAGGTCGGGCACTGATGTTGGGCGATTAGGCATGGCTCGCAGTCGGCGTTCCAATTCATCCCAAAGGTGTTCGATGGGGTTGAGGTCAGGGCTCTGTGCAGGCCAGTCAAGTTCTTCCACACAGATCTCGACAAACCATTTCTGTATGGACCTCGCTTTGTGCACAAGGGCATTGTCATACGTAAACAGGAAAGGGTCGTCCCCAAACTGTTTCCACCAAATTGGAAGAACAGAATCGTCTAGAATGTCATTGTATGCTGTAGCGTTAAGATTGACTTTCACTGGAACTATGGGGCCTAGCCCAAACCATGAAAAACAGCCCCAGACCATTATTCCTCCTCCACCAAACTGTACAGTTGGCACTATGCATTGGGGAAGGTAGCTTTCTCCTGGCATCCGCCAAACCCTGATTTGTCCATCGTCCTGCCAGATCGTGAATTGTGATTCATCACTCCAGAGAACGCGTTTCCACTGCTCCAGAGTCCAATGGTGGCGAGCTTTACACCACTTCAGCCGATGCTTGGCTTTGCACATGGTGATCTTAGGCTTGTGTGCGGATGCTCGGCCATGGTAACCCATTTCACGAAGCTCCCGATGAACAGTTCTTGTGCTGACGTTGCTTCCAGAGGTAGTGAGTGTTGCAACCGAGGACAGGCGATTTTTACGCGCTATGTGCTTCAGCAGTCCCGTTCTGTGAGCTTGTGTGGCCTACCACTTCACGGCTGAGCCGTTGTTGCTCCTAGACATTTCCACTTCACAATAACAGCACTTACAGTTGCCCGGGACAGCTCTAGCAGGGCAGAAATTTGACAAACTGACTGGTTGGAAAGGTAGCATCCTATGTCAGTGCCACGTTGAAAGTCACAGATCTTCAGTGAGGCCATTCTACTGCCAATGTTTGTCTATGGAGATTGTAAGGCTGTGTGCTCGATTTAATACACCTGTCAGCAACGGGTGTGGCTGAAATAACTGAATCCACTAATTTGAAGGGGTGTCCACATACTTTTGTATATATAGTGTATATATCCTACCGATTCCCAGGTGTGTGTTGATGGATGCGTAGCGTGCGGTGCCAGTCAGGTTCTTGTTCTCGCGGTAGGGGATGTGCTGGTGTGTGCGGGCGTCTCGGTATTTCTTGGCCAGGCCAAAGTCGATGATGTACACCAGGTTACCCTTCTTGCCCAGGCCCATCAGGAAGTTGTCTGGCTTCACATCTCTGTGGATGAAGTTCTTAGAGTGGATGTACTCTATACGGCTGATCTGGAGAGGAGAGAGCTTGATCAATAATAGCTAGTCTGATCTGGAGAGAGCTTGATCAATAACAGCTAGTCTGATCTGGAGAGGAGAGAGCTTGATCAATAACAGCTAGTCTGATCTGGAGAGGAGAGAGCTTCATCAATAACAGCTAGGCTGATCTGGAGAGGAGAGAGATGGCGTTAGCGTAATCAATTATGCACATACCAAGTGGATATACATGGATGCGTGTCACAATGGTAGAATGTAAACAACCCGAGACACCTGGTATTATAAACAACCCGAGACACCTGGTATTATAAACAACCCGAGACACCTGGTATTATAAACAACCCGAGACACCTGGTATTATAAACAACCCGAGACACCTGGTATTATAAACAACCCGAGACACCTGGTATTATAAACAACCCGAGACACCTGGTATTATAAACAACCCGAGACACCTGGTATTATAAACAACCCGAGACACCTGGTATTATAAACAACCCGAGACACCTGGTATTATAAACAACCCGAGACACCTGGTAGAAGCTCTCTCAGAGTCAGTCAAAACTTCCAAACGGTCTAAACCATTCCATTATGAGACGGGGGTGAAATCCCAAAGTTGTGCTATATATTCACTTTTAATCTGCAAAAATTACAAATTAATTAGTGGGTGATGGTGATTTCAGATCAAACATTGCTAACTGATAGTGGGGTGGTAGATGTCCAGTTTCCCTTATTGGAAACTCCCTACATACACCAAGTTACGGATATCTCCTGGGGTTGTCCAGCATGCAAAACGACTTGTAGATCAATGATGTCAACACAGTTCCATGCAGTTTGACACATCAGTTGTCACAAAAGATAAAAGGTATTTTCGGAAGGTAGAAAGAACGTAATATCAGCCAAAAACATGTTTGAATCGCTTTTCTGACCGATGCATACTTAAACATTTGAATCGGGGGACCGATGCGTATCGGTGAATCGTCGTAGTCTCCCGAGTGGCGCAGTGGTCTAAGGCACTGCATCGCTAGCTGTGCCACTAGAGATCCTGGTTCGAATCCAGGCTCTGTCGTAGCCGGCCGCGACCGGGAGACCCATGGGGCGGCGCACAATTGGCCCAGCGTCATCCAGGGTAGGGGAGGGAATGGCCGGCAGGGATGTAGCTCAGTTGGTAGAGCATGGCGTTTGCAACGCCAGGGTTGTGGGTTCGATTCCCATGGGGGGCCAGTATGAAAAATATAAAAAATAATGTATGCACTCACTGACTGTAAGTCGCTCTGGATAAGAGTGTCTGCTAAATGACTAAAATGTAAATGTAAATGTTACATCCCTAATTGCTAACTAACTGTAAACCATTTTAGCTGGCTAACTGTGACACCACTGTACTATCAATGTAGATTGGCTTAGGACAGTCAACTGAATAAATGACTTTATGATCCAGACTAGACCCATCTGACTGGTTCAACAGTGTGACCTATTTGTTGTGTGTATGTACTGACATGTATGTGTAACTGATAGATGCACACACACTACATGTTAATGTTTTTAAATGTATGTAAATGGTAAGGTATTTTGTCTGTAATGTATTTTTCGTTATGTGTCGGACCCCAGTAAGACTAGCTGTCGCCATTGGCGTCGGCTAATGGGGACCCTAATAAATCAAAAACAGGATGGGGAGAAACTAACAAGGAGAAGGAGGATGTAGTGACCTCATACACTCAATCATCACACAGTCCGCAATGCAAACCTGACACACAATGCAAATAGAGGCATGATGCCACCCAGGAGGTGCTTCTACACCAGCCTGAAAGGGCTGCATGGTCACAGTGGGACAAGGCTTCCTAACATTCTGAATGGAGGCAGAGTTAAGAGATGGCCAGTGTCATTCAAGACAGGTGTAGACATCGTTATACTGCCCCCCCCCGAAGGAGGTACTGTACCCTGCCTCCGCAGCGAACGCACCCTGCCTCCGCGAACGCACGCCAGTCTCTTACCATCTGGTCAGCCAGCAGCAGGACAGTCTTGAGGGAGAACTTGCGCGAGCAGAAGTTGAACAGGTCCTCCAGACTAGGTCCTAACAGCTCCATCACCATCACGTTGTAGTCCCCCTCCGCCCCACACCACTTTATGGTTGGGATACCCACTGTAGGGGGAGAGAGAGAGAGAGAGAAAAGAGAGAGAGAGAAAGGAGAGAGAGAGAGAAAGAGAGAGGGAGAAGAGAGAGAGAGGGGAAGAAGAGAGAGAGAGGGGAAGAAGAGAGAGAGAGGGGAAGGAGAGAGAGAGAGAGAGGGAAAGAGAGAGAGAGAGGGGAAGAAGAGGGATGTTAGTCATGTTAAAGTGCCACTGTGCTTAATCGTATACCCTTCATACCCACTGTAGGGGGAAAGAAAATAAACATTCTTTTTATAATGCATGTTTTATAATGTCTCTAGAAAGCTTGAGCTTAGAGCAAATGACATAACATATTGAGTATTATTTATTTGATCTGTGAGCATCATGAGGTAGGAGTTAGGAGCTGAAACCAGGCACTAGCCCCTAACTATATCCTATCATAGCTCTGGTATTAGGGCCAGGATGATACCACTATGGCAGTAGACCATAGCTATATCCTATCATAGCACTGGTATTAGGGCCAGGATGACACCACTAGAACATAGCTATATCCTATCATAGCACTGGTATTAGGGCCAGGATGATACCACTATGGCAGTAGAACGTAGCTATATCCTATCATATCACTGGTATTAGGGCCAGGATGATACCACTATGGCAGTAGAACATAGCTATATCCTATCATAGCACTGGTATTAGGGCCAGGATGATACCACTATGGCAGTAGAACGTAGCTTTATCCTATCATATCACTGGTATTAGGGCCAGGATAACACCACTATGGCAGTAGAACATAGCTATATCCTATCATAGCACTGGTATTAGGGCCAGGATGATACCACTATGGCAGTAGAACGTAGCTTTATCCTATCATATCACTGGTATTAGGGCCAGGATGATACCACTATGGCAGTAGAACATAGCTATATCCTATCATAGCACTGGTATTAGGGCCAGGATGATACCACTATGGCAGTAGAACGTAGCTTTATCCTATCATATCACTGGTATTAGGGCCAGGATAACACCACTATGGCAGTAGAACATAGCTATATCCTATCATAGCACTGGTATTAGGGCCAGGATGATACCACTATGGCAGTAGAACATAGCTATATCCTATCATAGCACTGGTGTGTGGAGATGGTTGACAACATACTATACCTGGTGAAAAATGTAACACACATACAAAAGCTCAAGGTGACCTCTACACAGATCTGAGAAGAGGGAGAGGAGGAGGACAGAGAGAGCAGAGGAGGTGGAGGGGAAGCCATTTGATTCAGTTGATTCAGGGCGTCTTTACAGGAGAGCAGATACCCAATTAGATCCCCACCACAGACCTGCTTCTACCCAGAGAGGAGAGGAGAGGGAAGGAGAACATGTCTTCTCTCAGACAGACTAGACAGCATGGATAGATTACAAAGAATACTACTGATGGAGGAATTATGATTATTACTAAAATTGTTAACCCCAATACTGATGATGACTGTGTGAACTGTTAGGGGTATCATTATAAACCCACTAACAGAGGGGGTGAGTTAGAAACTGCTGAGACAAACATTCCAGGATGAAGGGGACTGAGAAACTGGTTAAAGGCCTCCTAAAGGTGGGCGGAGCAAAGTGCCTTTGTGTGTCAAGGGGTATAAAAGCTGTATATGTGTTTTTTGGCGGCAGAGCTCTCCATGATTAAACATACAGATCATTCTTGCCGGTTGTGGACCTTTGTTTAATTCATGATTAAACCACAGCCTTACACCCTCTGGGAATTATTCAGAGCATTAAGTTTGATTAATTAGAGATAGAAATTCTCGTGACAAATGGTCCTTCGAGCCGGATCTCAAAATACGTCTTTATTGTTCTGAGAACACCGAAAACCGTGCACGGGCGGATGATAACATCCGTATAGAATAGACCTGGCCTTTGACGTTAAGGTTATAAACAGGCCGGTGATTAACCTTATGAACGATAAAGACGTTGACGAGATCTGAAAAAGCATTTAAATCCCAACTGCAAGGATAAGGTCAGTAATTTTTATTCATGGCTTTTGGTGAAATTATTTGAACTTGTATAAGAATAGTAATTCTTGTGAAGGGCAGATAATAGTTACCAAAATCTCATAAGGGTATAAAGGAAGGAAGGGGGGGTCCGAAAATGACTCTAGGTAATAGGCCTATACCAAAATAAACTAGTTAATATTGAGATTGTACAAGATAGTCTTTACAATATAAAACAGGAAGGGAGATCATTATCATCGTGTGAGATAGATACATTAAACAAGTCAAGAGTCATAAACAACTGGGGATTTGCTCTAAATCTCTCTATTTCATAAAACTAGAACAGTTACGACCTCTGGGTTACGGATAGTGTTAGCAAAAAATCGTATAAGGTTGTATACGTGTGAGACCTAATGATCCATCGAAATACGTGATAATTGTTTCAAGGAAGGGACTAAAATAGGATGCGTGAGAAAAAAAATGGTTGTCCCATCCGTTTCATGAAACTGGGGTCTTAAAAAACTCTGGGTTACGGGTTGAATAATTTAAATGGTTGATTACAAAAGCAGATCATAACATTTGCTCAAAAGTCGCACCTAATAATAAGTCCCAAAGAAAATAATTATTGATTGAATTATTACTAAATGATAAGGGAGACGGGGGGATTTCTTATTTTTCTACAATGGGAAATAAATATTCTAATTCTAGTCTATTTTTGGTTCCACGGGTAAAAAGTCTGAAGTGATTTGTGTCGATTAAGAATTGGCTAAAAACACCACGAAGCGATTATTTGAGAGGTACCTATAAATTTCTAACGATATATACGTATGAACTTGCTCACCCAAACGTAGACGTACCTCATGGATGAGAAAGTAGAGAATATGAGTTTAAGGTTGTACCGTTGTTTGATCATGTGATAACTACCGTATGATTTGCACCAAAAATCCAGTAATATTCCTTCATAGCTTGTTCTCCAACTTCTTTTTAAATAGGGAGACAATTTGTTTTCAGCACTTTTATTTATTTCCATGACCTGATCAAAACTCATTTTCTCATGGCTCTCTCGTCTCTCTGCAGCAGAAATATGGTGAGCAATATGTTTGGAACATTGACTCGCAACAAAATCACAGTATCGAATCGTAATCCACATATACTTAACATAAATATGAACACAACATGCAACAATTTCCAAGATTTTACTGAGTTACAGTTCATATAAACTAATCAGTCAACTTAAATTAATTAATTAGGCCCTAATCTATGGATTTCACATGACTGGGAATACAGATACGCATCCGTTGGTCAGATACCTTAAAAAAAAAAGTAGGGCCGTGGATCAGAATACCAGTCAGTATCTGGTGTGACCACCATTTGCCTCATGTAGCGTGACACATATCCTTCGCATAGAGTTGATCAGGCTGTTGATTGTTGGCTGTGGAATGTTGTCCCACTCCTCTTCAATGGCTGTGCGAAGTTGCTGGATATTGGCGGGATCTGGAACACGCTGTCATACACGTTGATCCAGAGCATCCCAAACATGCTCAATAGGTGACATGTCTGTTGAGTATGCAGGCCATGGAAGAACTGGTACATTTTCAGCTTCCAATAATTGTGTACAGATCCTTGTGACATTATCATGCTGAAACATGAGGTGATGGCGGATGAATGGCACGACAACGTCACGGTATCTCTGTGCATTCAAATTGCCATAGATAAAATGCAATTGTGTTCGTTGTCCGTAGCTTATGCCTACCTATACCATAACCCCAGCGCCACCTTGGGGCACTCTGTTCACAACGTTGACATCAGCAAAACACTCACCCACATGACGCCATACACATGGTCTGCGGTTGAGGCTGGTTGGACGTTACGTCAAATTCTCTCAAACAACGTTGGAGGCGGCTTATGGTAAAGAAATGAAAATAAAATTCTCTGGTAACAGCTCTAGTGGAGATTCCTGCAGTCAGCATGCCAATTGCGCGCTCCCCCAAAACTTGAGACATCTGTGTACTGCACATTTTAGAGTGGACTTTTATTGCCCCCAGCACAAGGTGCACCTGTGTAAGCCGTTTAATCAGCTTCTTGATATGCCACATCTGTCAGGTGGATGGATTATCTTGGCAAAGGAGAAATGCTCACTAACAGGGATGTAAACAACTTTGTGCACAGAATTTGAGAGAAGTAAGCTTTTTGTGCATTTGGAAAATGTCATAATAATATCGTATTGTGAGGTCCGTGGCAATTCCCAGCCCTAATGTAGACCTGCTATACTGCAGACCTGCTATACTGCAGACCTGCTATACTGTATATACGTTATATCTAAAGCTCAGAACATTCTCTCTTTGTAACATACACGTGTTAGTTAGGGTGAGTTTTGGGTCACAGTCAGCTCCTCAGTCCAGACAGCTGGTATAGTAGTGGTGGTAGCTGCTGACAGTTCCTGAACGGAGCCTGTTTTAGACTGTCCCTTCCTGCCTTTAGACTGGTGCCTTCCTGCCTTTAGACTGGTGCCTTCCTGCCTTTAGACTGGTGCCTTCCTGCCTTTAGACTGGGGCCTTCCTGCCTTTAGACTGGGGCCTTCCTGCCTTTAGACTGGGGCCTTCCTGCCTTTAGACTGGGGCCTTCCTGCCTTTAGACTGGCCTTCCTGCCTGGCAGCCTGTATGTCCTTCTACAGTAGAGAGAATAGAGTAGTAGACTGCTGATCAGCATTTTACACCTTACCTTACCCAGCTCAGCTACAGACAGACACTAGTTCATAGAGACAGACACGAGATACTAAGTATATTCTCCATGCTCCAGCAAACTCGCTCTGTCGCCACACACATAGACAGTCTGGTGCGTTCGTCCCTTAGTCTTGAACACGTGCTTTTAGCATCTGTCATAGTGAGTACTTGTCATCCAGAGTGTGTTCTGAAAGCTGAAGGAGACATATATGGGCTAGCCAGGCAGTGTGTGTGTGTGTGTGTTAGCCAGGTTAACATCAGCACATAGACCATCTCCAATGGGCAGTGCACCACACCAGGAAGCTGTTTTTAGCAGCAGTAGCCTGTGTATAGGCTACAGTTGAAAAGACTAGATAAGGGGTTCTCCAACTTGTTGAGGCCAGGGACCCCTTTTGCAACAGCAAATTCATCAGGGACCCCCTCATAACTCCAGTGAGATAGAAATAGCATACAAGGAGTTTTACTATGTCGGGCCCTGGGGAAGAACATTTTACAAGGCCCACCTCTTTGCATCGGAGAGAAAATCTTGCAGTTTTCA